TGGGGGTACCCATGTGCTGGGGGGATCTGTAGGGGGGGATCTGTGTGCTGTGAGGGGAGGGAGCTATGCAGTGGGGGAATCCATGTGCTGGGGGGATCTGTGCGGGGGGATCTGTGTGTGGGGGGATCTGTGTGCTGTAGGAATCTGTGTGCTGGGGGATCTATGTGCTGGGGGTACCCATTTGCTGGGGGGATCTGTGTGTGTGGGGATCTGTATGTGGGGGGATCTGTGTGCTGGGGGTACCCATGTGCTGTGGGGATCTGTGGGGGGGGATCTGTGTGCTGTGAGGGGAAGGAGCTGTGCGGTGGGGGGATCCATGTGCTGGGGGGATCTGTGGGGGGGGATCTGTGTGTGGAGGGATCTGTGTGCTGGGGGGATCTGTGTGGGGGGATCTGTGGGTGGAGGGATCCATGTGCTGGGGGGATCTGTGGGGGGGGATCTGTGTGCTGTGAGGGGAGAGAGCCATGCGGTGGGGGGATCCATGTGCTGGGGGATCTGTGGGGGGAGGATCTGTGGGGGGGATCTGTGTGCTGTGAGGGGAGGGAGCCATGCGGTGGGGGGATCCATGTGCTGGGAACATTCATGTGAGGTTGTTTTCCTGGCACAGCAGGAGCTGTTTAAACCAGGAAATTGGATCCAGAAATGACAACGTCATGCTCTTTAAGAAACTAGGCCTGGGAGGCTGGGGAAGGGGATGTTCTGACAGCACCCAGATTACCACGTCCCCAACCCCAAAACTTCCTGATGCCACCACCAGGCACAAGGCTTTAAGAGCACCAGGAATACCTGACTATGAGGTGTCATTGAGGAAGGGGTTCCCATCTGCATGGGGACACCAGCGCTCCAGCTGGAAATGTGCGGAAGGGGCTCTGAGACCACGCACAGCCGTTAACCCCAACCATCACTTGCTCCTCTCCTCCCTGGAGTGTCTGCTTTGTGCCAAGGAAAGGCGGATGCTCGAGGTCACAAGCTCAAACCCACACCCAGCAGGGAAATCTGCACCATCTCCAACGGCTGAGTTGCCCAATTGAGAGATTTCAAGGTTTCCAAGAACTGACTTGGTTTCTGGTAGGAACCAGGGGCCACGTGAGATGAGGGCGGGGGAGTAGGCCCAAGACCAGGCTCCTCAGCGAGGAGCCAGGCTAGTGTCTGAGGTCCACTTGGGATGCAGCCCAGGACACAGGGTCGGGAGCCTGTGGCGGCACAGTCATTGAAAAGTCCCAATCGCTCAGTTCCAGGCAGAGCTGCGGAGAGAGTGACTTCTCAGCGAGATGTGCTGAGTTAATGAGCCCCTCACGCCCTTACAAAAGCACTGTAAGGGCAGCTGGAAGTTGCTAGCATCAGAGACCAGCACGGACTGCTCAGAGGAACTCGCTTAAAGGAGCCCACAGGGATTTTTTTTAGGACAACGTACAGGAAGAAATGTTTAAATGGAGTCGATGGAGCATGTGCCACCCGTGGGCACCATCCCCAGAGCACGCAGCCCCTCGAGGAAGCAAGCTGTTGGGCGCCCAGAGCAGATGGGAAATCGAATCCCATAATGTTCAGGAAGAGCGGGCCTCAGGCGTTGACACGACCCTCCCTGCCTTCAAGCACCAACTGCCAAAACAGTGCCGTGTGACACTTTCTCTCCCTCCATCGCCTTCAAAGAAAGACTCCAGCCAGGCCGGGGGCTCATGCTTCTGATCCCAGCACTTTAGGAGACTGAGGCAGGGGGATTGTGTGAGCCCAGGAGTTCCAGACCAGCCTGGGAAACACAGTGAGACCTCATCTCTACAAGAAATAAAAATTAAAAATTACCCAGGCGTAGTGACACACCTCTGTAGTCCCAGCTACTCGGGTGGCTGAGGTGGGTGGATTGCTTGTGCTCAGGAGTTCCAGGCCTCAGTGAGCTGAGACTGCACCACTGCACTCCAGCCTGGGCAACAGAGTGAGACCCTGCCACCAAAAAAAAAAAAAAAAAAAAAAAAGATTCCAAGGTCTCTTTGGGTCGTGTATTTCTTAGATGGGTCACTGGAAAAGATGCAGTTTATAGAAAATAAATATAACTTCTGTGCCTACAGTGGTCAATTCAGCCAAGTCAATAAAAAGTCATGGGTCAGGCTGATCTGCGCTTACTTCTCAGTGGGCCGTTGTTGTGAAACTGAAGTTTTAAACCCTGAGACAGCATCTCAGGGGGGCTGAGGACACACCATAGCAGGGATTGCCTCAGTGCTTCCTCCTGGGGTCCAAGCTCCCTCCCTTGCCTGAAAGCTCTCACTCCACAGGAGCAGGGAATTTAGGCCTGCAGCAGCCCAGAAGGCAGAGAGCACAGGCCTGCAGCAAATTATGAACAGCTCTCCAGAAAACAAAGCACCCCTGTAATCCAGCACGTTGGGAGGCTGAGTCGGGAGGATCGCTTGAGCCCAAGGGTTTGAGACCAGCCTGGGCAACATGGCAAAACCCCATCTCTGCGCGCGCGCGCGCACACACACACACGCACACACACACACACACAAATTCGAAGGGCATGGTGGCGTGTGTCTGTAATCCCAGCTACTTAGGAGGCTGAGGTGGGAGAATAGCTTGAACCCAGGAGGTGGAGGCTGCAGTAAGCCAAGATCACGCCACCGTACTCCAGCCTGGGTGACAGAGCAAGACCCTATCACCAAAAAAAAAAAAAAGGAAAAGAAAAGAAAACAGCACTCTTGAAACCCACTGTCCAGGGCCATCTGTCCCATGTTCCCTCCCAACAAAGAGCTCTGACTCTGGCCTGCTTTTGTTCAATCAGATTTCTGAGAAAACAAAAACTATTGTCTCCTGACGTCTTTGTCCGGCATCTTCCAATAGAGAGCTGCTCCACCGCCAGCAGCAGCAGACCCGGGGGGGGTTCTGACTCAGAGGCCTGGGTGCTCAGATGCCCCGGACGTCAGCAGAGCCAGAGCTTTTAGCTTTGCTTCTATTATTGGAATTCGAGCCATCGGAAAACTAGGCAGATGGGCCAATCTAAATATTCTGCAATTGGTAAGGATTTCAGAGCTTTCGCAGAAAGAGAGAGGTCTCTCAAGTTCACAGCCATCTCCCCATCACCCCCCCCCCCGCCCCGCAGAGTCCCTGGGACTGGGGGTACAAATAAATCAGTTTAGTCTCAAAGCAAAGGTTTTCCCAAAATCCTCTTTAATAATACATGTAGCCCACATTGCTGCAATCGGTATAAAACAGTTATTCCTGATTTGTATAAATTAACATGTCGAGAGTCAGGATTATAAAGCATCAAGATACAAGTACCAAGTGCGAGGACCAAAGACAACTCACGGTGAAGAGAAATGCTTGAGAACAAGACACATGTAAGCTGTAGGATGTGGTAACAGCCAGGGCTGCTGAAAGGGTCAGAGGCGCAGGTGCAGACCCGGGCTTCTCCTCTGCCTGTGCGAGGGTGAGGGGGCCGTGGGAGGCTGGCTGAGAAGGACCAGTGCCAGGCAGCAGGGCAGAGAGTGCCAGGGGTCTCGGCTCTGCAGATTGGGCTTTGCAGAGGATTCCCATTCCCCACCTCCCCAGCCCTCGGACACAGACTGAAGAGACCACACACGTTGACCTCCTCTTCAGACCGAGCTGCCATTTCCACTTCATTCTACTGAGTGTGTTGTTCTGTAAAATAATTCCCCGGTGTTCCTTGCCCCTTTCAGACCACAGCTTCCCTGCTTAGCCCCCTTTCCACATGCACAGTCTGAGTCTGGGGGGCCCTTGAAAGTCAGGCACAACACCCAGATCTGGTCCTCTTGGGTGGCTTATGGCTGGATATGTCCACCGTGTGTGACGGCCTCTCAGCTCTCTGCCGTAAGATCATTGGCACCACCAGGTCAAACAGGGTCTCAAACAGGAGGTCCACATTGTAGCCCGTCTTGGCACTGGTCTCAAAGCACATCTTCTCAGCGGCCGGCATGTCCTGCTCATCCAGCATCTTGTACTTCAGGATCTTTTTATAAAGGGCCACCGCGTCCTCCAGATGCACCTGCTTAGGCACCCTGGGGGAGACACAGCCCCCGCCATCCAAATCGGGACTACACTCTCCCTTCTCCTGGCCCTCCAAGGGCCCTTCCTCAGTGAGGTCCACTTTGTTCCCCACGATGGCGAAGAGGCAGTCTTTGCTGGCTGTTTCTGTCAGGCCCAGGAAACGGTCCTCCAGCTCCACCAGGCTCTGTGGGTGATTCACATCATAGGTGAGGATGATGGCAGCCGCTCCCCGGCAGTACATGGAGCCCAGGCCGTGGAACTGCTCCCGCCCTGGTGGGTAAAGAGGGATGGAAAGATCCGTTATCTCTCATCTCAGAACCCAGCCACCAGCCACACGGCACAGGAACATCCCCAGCACTCTAGCCTCACAAGGTCCACGTGGCACACACGCTTTCCACTAGTGGACTGAAGAGTGGGCGAGTCAGGCACAGCAGCGCTCCTGGGAGGCTGGGCTGGGGCACTGGAACCCCTGCCTCCTTCCTGCATAAAAGCAAAAACCCCAAAATTGATGGCTAAAAAAGAGGATGAAAACGTCCGGGTCTCTGCGTACTTTTACAATGCAGTCATCAAATCAAATCAACCCAGGTCAGAATACGCTCCCCACAGGTAACCTGGCACACCCACAGTGTCCTTTCCCGACATCTGCCCAGGGTCACCTTTCTATCCCAGCAACAGTGCACAGACCCCCAGGCGGCCCACTTACCTCCCCACTGGCAGGCAGCTCCCTGCCAGTCCACTTAAGGCAGGTGGGAGCTACCTAGGAACTTTCTGGCAGAATTCTACAACCCCTGCCTGTAGCACAAGCTTTCTGCAGACTCAGATTTGGAGGATAGACTCTCACAAGGGGAGCAGATCTGGTCATGGCCGGCCAGTGCTCCTGGGACTGGTGCAGTGCGCGCAGCAGGTGAGAGCCCCAGCAGGGAGGGCTGCGCCCAGCAGTCTGCAGGGGTGTCCTTTGGGCCTTGGCATGCTTTTCCTCATTGGCGCATCTGCCACGTTGGGGAGATGAGCTCTCAGGAAGCAGCTGTGGGAGAGGCGGCAGCACGCACCATGCCCCCGCGCCTCTTGAGGACTGAGCAGGCTGTGCATGGCACAGGCCCTCCCTGCTGGAAGAAAGGGCTTCACAAGCATTCCTGGTGACAGATCTGTTTCAATCACCAATGAGCAAACCCCAGGTGAGATCTTCCAATCATAAAGCACCTGCTCCCCACTACACCTTCCAGGGGCACGCTTTCGAAGAGGAGTGAGACCTGTGCTCAGACACCGCCCCAAGAAGCCTCTGCGAACAGGCCTGGCGGCTCCCACAGCACCCCCTGCAGGCCAGCTCCTCTCCTCCCCCCTGGGCAAGTGTGGCCTCCTGGGCAAGTGTGGCCTCCCGGGCCATGCCCTTAGACTAAGAGGAGGGAGAGCCGGGAACGACTAACAGCACTGGACCAACAGCACCAGCCTCCACTCTCGAGCCCAGAACGCAAGGTCAAATGCCCCTGGCCAGTGGCCAACAACACGGAGAGAGGTGGCACCCAGGGAGTGTCCGGGGCTCATTCCAATCCCTCCCCGGGGAAAAGCAAGCCTGGTTCTGATTTTTTTTTAAAGCTAACAATGTGGGTTTAATGAGCAATTGCCAAGTTGTAAATGTTCAAAACTAATTCAAAATTTTCTAAAGATCACGTTTAGGTAAACACAAAATGCAACAGTGGCCCATCATTGGCAGCCTCTAAATTCTAAATGGTCCCACGTCACTCTGAGCGCAACTTCCCCGAGGGTGTGGACAGCGCTGACCGGTAGCAAGGGCTCTTCATCACTGGGTCATAAACCAATTTCAGAGGGTCCAGGACCTTGAAAGGGGGAGAAAATGTCATCTTTGTTTTCACCACTCTCTGCCTGAAAGTTACCATTTCCTTCCATTATAAATGTTGGCAGCAAACTGCAGAAACAGCAATGAGGGGCACTACCCACCAACAGGGCCAGCAGATGCTTCCATCTGCACGCCAGCCGCTTCAGACACCCCAGTGCGATGCGCCCAACCCTTCAAGATCGCCACCACCCTTAGGCCTGCCACGCCTTCATTCATTAACATGTGGACGATGAACCACATACCATAATTTGAAAAGGCTTTGTATGACTGTACTTCAGGACATCTGGTTACCTTTGTATGTGACTGCATGCACCCGGGCAGTGTTCTCAGAAGGGGTCCTGGGCTCATACCCCACAGGAGCTGAGGGGGTCTTGACACAAAAGAAATTAATGACCCTGGTCTGTGGGCGTTTGGAGCATGGACTGAATGCATGACACCTGCACACGTGCAGTTCTCTAAGGCAGACTGTCCTTTGCCAATAAACCACTGTTTAGAGCCAAATAACCAAGAAACACAACCAAATTTCATCCCATTTCCACCTCAATCTTTCTGAAATGGCCACATTCTGATGACACCAAGTCCTCAAGCCTCGCTGGGCGACACCGCCTGGATTTCGAGGCAGTCTGGTCACCCCTTGGGCAACCCTGAAGAGAGGGGCCCACAGACACACACACTCATGTCCTGTGAGAACAGCCAGATAGACCTGTCTACTGCCTGCTGTGGTCTCCCAGGCCCCAGCCTGGCTCCAGCACCCCCTCCAGCAAAGCCACAGTGTGCCTTCGGGAATGTGGAGGGAAAGTGAGCCGGGAGCTGAGCCAGACTGGCTCTGGTAGGATCGGAAGAATGTGCCCTGCTGCCAGTCTGAGGGTCAAAGTGTCAGAGCTACCCAGGTTACCTCCCTCTTCTGGGAAAAGCCGGCCTGGGAATGCCGCAGTTTGGGCGACAGGGCCACCCTGTTGGCAAGCAGCTTGTGCCCTGGAATTCAGCATCTGAAGGGCAACATTCCTCCCTTCCGCACGCCTACCACAGGTCAGCTTCAGACTGACAATTCAGTCAGCTTCCAGTCAAGCTGGGGAGAAACCAGTGTCCCCTGAACTCACAGTCATTCGCCCACTATGGAAGATGATGATCAGGAACCTTTAAAACCCGATATAAAAACTGGCAATAGCAGGCATCAGCTTAAAAAGAAAAGGCTAGGGCAGGAGGATTGCTTTAGGCCAGGAGCTGGAGGCCAGCCTGGGCAACACAGCAAGGCTCCCATCTCTACAAATTACTTTTAAATTAGCCAGGCACTGTGATGCATTTCTGTAGTCCCAGCTACTCAGGAGGCTGAGGAGGGAAGATCTCTTGTGCCAAGGAGTTTGAGGCTGCAGTGAGCTATGATCATGCCACTGCACTCCAGCCTGGGCAACAGAGTGAGACCCCATCTCTAAAATAAATTTAAAATGGTAATAAGAAAGAAAAATGTCATAGATAACAGTCCAGGCATCACGAGGTTTTAACAGGAGCTAAAAATGTCATCAGCTTCTACCCACCAGATTTCACAAGAGTGTGACTATGGGAACACGGAGTCAGGGACATTCCAGCTACCCCGGGAGAACTTTTCTCAAGTCTCTGACACAGTGCACTCAGCCGAAGGGAGAACTGTGTTGATGCCTATGCCTAACATAGCTTCCCATTCCAGATAAAAATATCTGATTTGCCTTTAAAAAGCTAAAAAAGGAAATAATAATACAAAAGGAAAGATCTTAGTAATGAAAAGAAGTAGGAACTGAAGAACCACAAATGCTAGCCAGAAAAAAGTAAATAAAAATTGTTGCTTGAACCCTATAATCTGTTATCTACCCATGAATATAAATGCAAACCAATTACATGCAGGTGCCCCCGCTAAAGAATTTACAAGCAAGCAGTTTTCATATTTGCAATTCTAAAATGCAATTTTGGAGATAATGTATGGCTTTTAGGATTGCTAATGGAATATTCAGGGTGCTCTAAATGAGTCTATTGTCCACACCGAGAAGGGCCAGAAGTCCCGAATTTAATCGTGATTGAATTGAAGTAGGGGCGCTGGTATTTCAGGCATGACAGCCAACATAAGACAATGAAGATTACATGGTGTCACTACGACTTGACCTTTTGCACTTGGCTTTGACAAATTCACAGTGTATTTGAATCCAAGGGCCCTCATACATTTTCTGGTGGTTTGTGAATGTGCTGTGCGCCCGGCCTGCAGCCCCCCACTGCTAACCCCACACACATGTCAGCCCCTGGACCTCTCAGAGTGGTGATTTCCTGTCTACAAGTACGGCCTTAAAGTGGGTCTTTCACAAGTCCCTCTCCCTGGAAACAGGATGAGCCATCTTTCCTGCCTGCTCCCCCAGACAGGAGTCCCTCAGTACCAATCCTGAAGCCAAACTGCTAAGAATTCTGGTAGTTTACTCGGACTTTGTTGGAGAAATCAACAGCCTCAGGTTCAATTCTGGGGATGCCAGAGCCCCAGGCTGACCCAGAAACAGGTCGAAAGAGAAACATCACAGGTTGGTTCAAATTCAACCAATGCAGCCAAGGGTCAGTGAGCTGCCAGCCCTGGTCTGGTGAATGGAGCCGGGCTGCCAGCCCATCATCAGGCCTGGAGGCAGGGGTTCGAGCCCAAGGAGGGAGCCCAGCCTCCCGCCAGACTCTGCCTCTTAGCCTGGTCTGTCTTCAGGCCAAGCAGGTGGGAGGATGTGTGAGTGACTGGAGCCCAGGGCTCTGGGTTAGACTTGGCCAGGAATTATGACTCGTTTATGTAGCAAACCCAGAAGTGATCTGCTAAGCTTTATGCCACCAACACAATACAGACGAAGACGTCAGTTACCCCTGGTGGTGAGGGAAACCTGAATCTGTAGCAATGCCTTCAATGTCTGACCAGCCACACTGTTGGACAAACTATTGAAATGCAGCAAAACTGACCAGGCCTTTTGCCGGTGAGTCCAGAGCGGCCAGAGATGAAGACTCCCTGCCCACTGCAGACATGGCCCTGGGGAGGCAGGTCCCACCCGCCCCACCTCTACACAGACACGGGGCCCTGGGGAGGCAGGTCCCACCCGCCCCACCTCTACACAGACACGGGACCCTGGACAGGCAGGTCCCACCCGCCCCACCTCTACACAGACACGGGACCCTGGACAGGCAGGTCTCACCAGGTTTGTTTCTGGAATTTACATATCTAAAAACACAATTGTATCTGTTTACCTAAAGAGCTAATTCCACTCACTTTATGAAGTGTAAGTTCTGTCTAAATGAGAGAAAGAAGTGGACTTGGTCATTTATGGCAGGGAATGGGCTGTTAACTTCCACCAACCCGTCCCCGTATCAGGGACATGGAGCGCTGCTTCGCGATGGGAAGAAGCGTGGCAGGCACAAGGCGTCCTCG